CCCCCCTTTCTTCAAGACAGAATTGATCTGCCAAATTTTCGCCGTTTTTAGGTGTTTTTCGGCTCTAAAAACTGAACCACGTGAGCTAGGTTAGTGAAATTTCGCGTGTGCCGAGCCACGAACATACCTAATAAGCCTGCAAAATCTCAGCCAGATCGGCCGAGCCGCTCAGGAGGAGTAGTGCACACGAACATACACACTCTGCAAACTCAACAGTGTACTCAGTACACTCTAGTTAGAGTGTGCTCATGAGTACACTCTAACTTGCGTGAACTCAGAAGAGTACACTCGAACTAGCGTGTACTCAGATGAGTACACTCTAGCCAGCGTGTACTCAGATGAGTACACTCTAGCCAGCGTGTACTCAGATGAGTACACTCTAACTAGCGGGTACTCAGATGAGTACACGGCAATTTATGCAGCTGAAAGTGTGTACTCATCTGAGTACACGCTAGTTAGAGTGTACTCATCTGAGTACACGCTGGCTAGAGTGTACTCATCTGAGTACACGCTGGCTAGAGTGTACTCATCTGAGTACACGCTAGTTCGAGTGTACTCTTCTGAGTACACGCTAGTTAGAGTGTACTCATGAGCACACTCTAACTAGAGTGTACTGAGTACACTGTTGAGTTTGCAGAGCACGCAGACAGAAAAAGTTTTTTAACCCCACTGGAGTAACGGGCTTCGCTATCGCTCAGCCAATAACAAGAGTTAGAAACCAGATATGTTGAACCTAGAGGTTCAATCTGTAACGCCAATTGCCCAGTTTTAGGATGTTCCCCCGAAGGGAGATGGGCGACTGAGAGGCGCTTAATCTTTGAAACCGTGCAAATATGTATGAATGTTCTAATTACATTGGACCGGAACCATCCGGTTTCATAATTAGCAACGTACTTTTTTCCGGTTCTAGAGCGCACTTTACATCTTCGACAGTAACAAACCGCCGATTGTCAATAACAGCGTGGATAAATGCTGTGTTGATAACATCTTCCAAGTAATTTCGGAGGTGATCTCTGATCTGCGCAGCAGCAATCCGTCCGGAAGGTATGGCAACTGGGTCGTCGGCACTGGGCAATCCAGGAGGGATGTCCGTGTGCTCGACAGCGCTTCTCTCAAGGCGGGAACAGGCAGGCGGGACTTCCAACCAACATTGTTGGGTTGTCGTCAACTTTTTCAACTTGGATCGCAGCTCAACGATTGGTTCCTTTGGAATAGGAAGGTGTTCGTAAGTTTTGTACGGTGTTAACCCCGAAAAAGCGCGATAAACGTCTGGAGGCATAGCCAGGTAGGTGAAGCTCATGGCTTGTTCAATGGCCGCCTGTCTTCTTTCTTCAGCTGCGTCTATTTGTTGTTGTTGGGCTCGTGTCACTGGCATGGTGGTTGAAGGTGGATGAGGTCGACAGCAGCAGAAGTGATACGTACATGCGCACGAGACTGTTAGAAACTAGGGGTACGCGCCGTTTTGTTTATGCGCGTAGTAGGCGAGCGATGCGTCTGTATTCTTGTAGAAGATGGTTAAGAATATATGCAAAGTAAGGCCAATACAGGGTCAATGTGAAACTCAATTTTAAAAGTTTGGTCACAAATTGGTAAATTTTGGGGAAAGTAAAGGTCTGGGATGAAATTGGAAGTCATTTTCGTGACCAGCACACCAAAAACTGCAGGAAACTATGTAAAACTCGATGTAAAAATTTTGGTCGGAAATTGGTAAATATTTGGAAAAGTAAAGGTCTGAGATGAAATTGGAAGTCATTTTCGTGATCAGCACACCAAAAACTGCAGGGAACTATGTAAAACTCGATGTAAAAATTTTGGTGCGAAATTGGTAAATATTTGGAAAAGTAAAGGTCTGAGATGAAATTGGAAGTCATTTTCGTGATCAGCACACCAAAAACTGCAGGGAACTATGTAAAACTCGATGTAAAAATTTTGGTGCGAAATTGGTAAATATTTGGAAAAGTAAAGGTCTGAGATGAAATTGGAAGTCATTTTCGTGATCAGCACACCAAAAACTGCAGGAAACTATGTAAAACTCGATGTAAAAATTTTGGTCCGAAATTGGTAAATATTTGGAAAAGTAAAGGTCTGAGATGAAATTGGAAGTCATTTTCGTGATCAGCACACCAAAAACTGCAGGAAACTATGTAAAACTCGATGTAAAAATTTTGGTCCAAAATTGGTAAATATTTGGAAAAGTAAAGGTCTGGGATGAAATTGGAAGTCATTTTTGTGATCAGCACACCAAATACTGCAGGAAGCAATGAAACACCGAGGAAATTTTGGTCCTTAATCATGTGATTCTAGTTGAAAGTATGGGTCTTCAGTTGTTAGGTTTTTTAAGAGTGTTTCCTGTTCATGGTGTCATGCCATGAACCCTGACCCTGTTACTCAGTCGAGTAACATTGAACAGCCAGCATTGTATTGCTTTATACGATTCACAAATACTTCAATTACCATACGATATCTCCTTGTTACTGAACTTATGAATACGCAATAATATTAGTAATACCTAAAAAGCCTTTCTCCCTTTTAGTTTAAACTAGTGGATTAAACTATATTGATTTATCTGCATTAATTAAAAAGAGACATATTTACAGGCAGGCTGATTTCAACTACTTTACGGAGAAGACCTTCTGTCAGATCCAATGAATCGTTTCATAGAATCCAATGTCGAGGCCACTTATTGCTAAACGCAAGTTTATCTTATTCATAATGATAGTCATGGTGTGTTATATAATCTTTGAAACAGTTTAGCAAAAGTATTTACCTAACATTCTGAGTAAATTAAAAAAAAAAGCCAACTCAAACCATGACCAACACAAATTACCAGTTGTCGCAGACAATGTATGATTAAGTTAAAAGAATCGTCTCATGAAATCATATGACCAAGTCAGTGAATCGTCTCATTGAATCTGATGTCAATGTCAAACCTTGAATGCGCTACACTCACTCATCATATGGTTTTCTTTAAGGTTAGTACTATAGTAAACTCACAGCATTGCAATGAAGCCTTTTCCCAGAATCAGTGCCAGGAGTCAGCAAAGACTATTTATTTTGGCAAGATTAGCATCTGGTTTGTACTCATAGAATGTATTAATATATTTTCTAACTTGTAATTGAGCAAAGCAAACAACTAAAAAATATAGTGTCTGAGAATATAAATGGAAATACACTAACAAAGGTTAAAAAGACCAAATCATTCTTGCAATTATCAAACACACTCCACTGACTAAAACATTTCCCCTGTAGCGGGGGAGGGGAGAGGCGTAATAATTGTCACTTTCATTTTCCGTATTTCACTGAGTTGACACTCCGGAGGGGTTTCAATCATTCTAAAATATCGAAAAACTATGACCGTACTCACTTCTAAGCCCTTCTGCTCTTTAGTTTGTTTTATTTGCCAATGTTTTGCCAGGTCCCGTATTTGAGAGTCGCGGCCGCAAGTATGAAAAATTGCTACGAGCTGCCAACCACTGCCAACCTAACCACGCTAAGAACCTAATTCAAAAAGATGTTTTGAATATTTCAAACAATATTAATCGTGAATATAAGATAAACTCCCCCTGGGGGAGATTTAGGAGCCTTCCGGTGCGAAATTTTGAAACTATTTGTGCGGTAGTTGCTGAGAAACGTGAGTGAGTTACAGACAGACAGACGCACGACCAGTCACTTTTTGGTACCCCCAAACACGGCATGGGCTCGCTATCGCTCGCCAAAAAGTCTGAATATTCAAACCAAATTGGTAAGAAGTTATTAACAGACTTGAGGTCTGAAAATTCAGACCATTTAGATGGTCTGAAAATTCAGAACTCGAGAGTCTTACATTTAAGAGTTTGGTGGTTTGAAAATGCAGTCCTGTACGAAGATTGTGAACTTTAAGGTTCGTGACATGTTCCATATGACATACATAGAAAGAATCTCAGGTGTGAGTGAACCTCCAGACAGGGCAACATTGAGTAAAAATTGTGATGAGGGGGAAGGTCCTTTGTCCTTTTCCCTACCTCTCGACAGGCCGGCCTGTGGCACCCAAGGAAATGGCGACACGGAGCCACCCGCGAGAGGTAAATTAGAATGTGGATTGTTCAACTTCCACCCATATTACGGAGATAAATCTTGCAGCAGAGAATGGTTCTCATATGGCCGATTAAGTCCTGTCAATTGGGAACTTTTCAACTAATATATTTTCACATTTTAAACAGAAGTAGGTATGTTCCACAACATGCGCGCCATCTAGCGGACAAACGAAATCTTGGGTTGGTCTGAATATTCAGACTTAACCATCTAAATTTTCAGACTGCTCTGGTCTGAATTCAGGTTCTGAGACGATCAAGTCGCAATTTTCATACCGGAAGGCAAAATTTTCAGACAAGCAGTCTAAAAAAGGTCTGAAAAATAGATTTAGACCACCAAGTCTGACAAAAGTGGTCTGAATTTTCAGATATTTTTTTTTACAGTGAACGGATTTGGAAAAAGTTGCCGGATAGCTTCAAAACCTTGCGCGCAGTGAATTTATGTCTTTTTGTAAGGTATTTTTGATATGCCTTTAGAGCCTTGTTAAAGTGGCCCAAAATTATTTTTCTTTAGAAAATGTTCTTAAAAGTGTGATCTTTCCAATGGAAAACCCCACATTCCTTCAAAAAAATCTGGAAAGAAATGAATTTTTTTTTCATTTAACCAAAATTTTAGTGTTAATGGCGAGCCTCCCCCCTTAACGCCATCCTTCACAGAAAGTCTACTGAGCACAGCTTCTTCAAAGAAAGGAGGCATCGCAAATTTTACGAAGAATTGCTTTGTCTTATGAAGCAAACCCCTCCGAAGCATTACTTCGCAATGGGAAGGAATTCTTAAATGCCTTATTTTTCTTTGAAGTTATAACTGCGAAAAGCTTCGTAGGTACTTTTTACGAGTGTTTTTTTCGGCGCCACATGGCAAAATCGTGACTCATAAATATTATCGTCGCAGCACGACGATGAATCCAATCGCGGTACCGCTGAGTCAGGCCTCACGATCGATTGTGGTTAGTTGACGCCATGTTGCACCTGCTGCTGGCCGTGTTCGTCTTAGGGGCTGGTAAATTAGTTTCCTCGCATCAAAATTGGAAAGGGCGCAAATCAGTTTAGGACTTTCGGGCCAAATTTGTGTGCTCATCTAAAGGCATTACATTCATACGCCCTTACTTCCATGAATTCATTGGATGCATTGATAAAACCGCATGAGATTGTTTTCATGCCACCCCTTAAGAATTTAGAAGGGATTGCAAATCCAACTATCACCTTGATATTGACCTTGTTTCAATCATAACACCTTTGTAAAGATAACAGTAATTTCAATACATTACTAGACAAGGTAGGTTCACGCCAGACCGCGTCTTGTCGTAACAGGCTTCGCGATGTCTCGCTGCCTGTTCCACCAATCCGCGCCTGGCGTACCTACCTTGGCCTGCGGCGCTCCGTCGTCGGTTACTTCTAACTTGTTTCTTTCTGGGGGGCCCGCCCCCCAGACCCCCCCTCATTATAGATAGAGTTGCTTCATCTACAGATAACACGATCTTGACCCTTGGAACTTTTTAACTTGTTGAGGCTGGAGGGCTCCGCCCCCCAGACCCCCTTTCTTCAAGACAGAAGTGATCTGCCTGCGGGAAACTCAATTTTTCGCCGTTTTTATGTGTTTTTTTGGCTATAAAAACTGAACTAGTTGAGCTAGGATGGTGAAATTTCGCGTGTGCCGAGCCAAGGACATACCCAAAAAGTGTGCAAAATCTCACCGAGATCGGCCGAGCCGTTCAGGAGGAGTAGTGCGGACACACACGCAGACAGGAAAAACTTTTCAACCCCACCTGAGTAACGGGCTTCGCTATCGCTCAGCCAATAACACAAGAGAGGTGGTAATCTGGAATAACTTTAAGAACCATGTATGAAAAAAACATAACTTCAGATGGAACTGAAAACTATGTCAGTGTCTACCTGTTAATGTATTGTTCGTGTTGAAGATGTACTTCTATCCATGTTGGCCACTGTGTAATAGGGGCCGTCGACATTTGCGACTTTTCGATTTTGACAACGGAATAGCACTCAAAAGTTGCGTTTTTTAATGCTGATTTCAGATCTGTCCTTGGTTTTGCGATCAGACTAAGCTTTGATGACCCTACCGGCCGTTTTATGCAAAAAAGCGGTGTTTTTCATGTTTCTACTGTGTTAAGGCTCCCGGACAGCCTCCACGTCGTCGGCCAAGGTAGGTGACCGTTGAGTTGTCTCCAGTAGCATAAAAGACAACACTCTGAGCCACGAGGGGTCGTGGGTCACCCCTCTAATGTGCCAAAGACCTGAAAAACTGAATTTTTTGGTCGAAAATCACTCAATTTTTACCATTTTTTCACCGTTTATCGACTATTACGAGAGCCCACGGGCCCGAGGTCATAACTTACGCAGACCAAAAGGTGTCACTGGGTATAAGAAAGGTCACCCAGCCCCTGCCCGGGCCCGGGGAGGCGCTGGGGCAGCGAGAGAGGCGGTGTCGAATATGTTCAAAATGACCAAAATCAGCTGATCGGCCGCCTGGGACATGCTGTGTAGGGGATGGGAGCGTGTCGCCGCGCCGGTCACGACGCTTCGCCCGCTGCCCGCCCAGCCGGCCTGCTAGCCAGCCGGCCTGCCAGCCCGTCGGCACTGCGTAAGACTGCAAGAGGGACAGAGCGACGGGAGCTGCAGGGCGGGCAGGCTGAAAGCGTTTCTGAAGAATCCATCGCTGCCTCTGTCGCACCCCGGAGGCAGAGCGACGGAGTGCTGCTGGCGCGTGTTGAGTTTGAGTTGCCTAGGCACAGTGAGGCAAGGCGTCAGAGTCGGCGGTGACCGCTGCAAGCGTCGTGCCAGCCTGGCATGGTCGACATGAGCCCCGATGGCCTGAGCCCCGGCCGAGCCCGACTTGAGCGCCGACACGAGCACTGACTGAGCTACGATGGCCAGAGCCCCGAACCGAGCCTGGTTTGAGCTCCGACCTGAGTCCCATCTGAGCCCCACGCCGAAAAAACTTCCATTTTGGAATTGTTCTTCGAAGATTTTGGTTCAAATTGAAAATTTTAACTTTTTAGGCGCGGGTCTCAAATGAGGATCAAATGAGGCCCAGGTCGGGGCTCAGAACAGGCTCAGGTCGGGGTTTTGGACATCGCAGCTCGAGTCGGGCTCGGCCGGGGCTCAGTTCGGGGCTCTGGCCATCGTAGCTCAGTCAGTGCTCGTGTCGGCGCTGAAGTCGGGCTCGGCCGGGGCTCAGGCCATCGGGGCTCATGTCGACCATGCCAGGCTGGCACGACGCTTGCAGCGGTCACCGCCGACTCTGACGCCTTGCCTCACTGTGCCTAGGCAACTCAAACTCAACACGCGCCAGCAGCACTCCGTCGCTCTGCCTCCGGGGTGCGACAGAGGCAGCGATGGATTCTTCGGAAACGCTTTCAGCCTGCCCGCCCTGCAGCTCCCGTCGCTCTGTCCCTCTTGCAGTCTTACGCAGTGCCGACGGGCTGGCAGGCCGGCTGGCTAGCAGGCCGGCTGGGCGGGCAGCGGGCGAAGCGTCGTGACCGGCGCGGCGACACGCTCCCATCCCCTACACAGCATGTCCCAGGCGGCCGATCAGCTGATTTTGGTCATTTTGAACATATTCGACACCGCCTCTCTCGCTGCCCCAGCGCCTCCCCGGGCCCGGGCAGGGGCTGGGTGACCTTTCTTATACCAGTGACACCTTTTGGTCTGCGTAAGTTATGACCTCGGGCCCGTGGGCTCTCGTAATAGTCGATAAACGGTGAAAAAATGGTAAAAATTGAGTGATTTTCGACCAAAAAATTCAGTTTTTCAGGTCTTTGGCACATTAGAGGGGTGACCCACGACCCCTCGTGGCTCAGAGTGTTGTCTTTTATGCTACTGGAGACAACTCAACGGTCACCTACCTTGGCCGACGACGTGGAGGCTGTCCGGGAGCCTTAACACAGTAGAAACATGAAAAACACCGCTTTTTTGCATAAAACGGCCGGTAGGGTCATCAAAGCTTAGTCTGATCGCAAAACCAAGGACAGATCTGAAATCAGCATTAAAAAACGCAACTTTTGAGTGCTATTCCGTTGTCAAAATCGAAAAGTCGCAAATGTCGACGGCCCCTACTGTGTAAGTACAGTCCTAAAAGGAGGATCCCAGGGGCAGGCAACCTGATAGAAAATAATACTAGAATTGAAAGTGTTCTCAAGTCATTTTAACTTCTGCTTAAAAATATTTGAGATAAAAGTCTCAAGAAAATTCGGGGCAATGGAGAAGGCACTTGCTGGCAGTCGGTGCAGCTTATTTTCCTACCTTTTTTTGCAGCCTCGGCGTCTGCCGCTGTGAGCAACCCTTTCCTTGACAGCAAGATCATCGGCGGAACAACAACTCATGTGGACGACGCCCGCTTTATGGTAACCCGAAACGAAATCAAAAGGGGTAATAGACTAAAAAGATGAAACCCTACGGGGCCGTCTATTAATTACGTTACGCACCATGGGGGAGGGGGTATCTGAATAGGGTAATGCTGCGGAATAAAGGGGATGGAGGGTCCGAGCCAGCGTATAAATACATTGAATTTGAGAGCAACATTACAGCAGTACTAACAGTAGATCAGGTGAAGAAAAGTGTTTCCCTGGGAAATTTTTCTCGACGTTACGGTGTCGGAGGGGGTAGGGGCTTCTGGTCTAGCGTCATGCAGCGTAAGGGAAGGTGGGGCTCATTGGGACGGATTTTTTCTTTGCGCTCTACGTCAGAGGGCTTTCGAGCTATAATGGTCGGGGCAGGCCTAAATTTGTGCGTTGACATCTAGCCTATCATATCCTGAAGCAATCAAACTTATTTCGACACGTTTTTAGGCAGGAGAGATATTTTCCGTAGAGTCTGCACTTGTCCCAATGTGGACAGTACCGGGGCACATTGGGACAGCAATGAAAAAAATGTGGATCTAAGTCGTGCATTTATTTTTTCGGACCGCCAAGTTGTAGAAAAAGTTGTGCTGAATACAATGAGCGCGGACTCGGATCTCTGGTTCCAAGCGTTCGGAAGATACGCTGCTTTCAATGGAATAGTACTATTTTTCGTGTTTTTTTCGACCTCTCTACTCGAGAAAACCCTGAAGTAATGACTTAAGAGACCGCATGCATAAGATAACTTTTATTTGTTTGGACGAGACAAGACAATATATGTACGATTCATGTATTTTTGCTATCCACATGGCCCAGTAGCCTCACCCTGTCCCAATGTGAAATGAGCCATTTTAAAACGTCAACTCGGTCTGTGGCCCTTGACCTCAAGGCCAAGCTCCGCGCGTTGACCCTTTTTGACGCCCATTGCACCAGGGAACACATTTCTAACCTCGGCACGATCATCCGACGTGCATTTCAGACGCTAGAAAGAAAACAAAATTTAAAAATCGTGCTACTTTTCATCGTTTTTCGTGCAATCGAAACCACATTTCTCAGTCAGAAAGCGCCCAGTTCTGTCCCAGAGTCGTGAAAACAGTAAACCAAATAACGCTCTATTATGGTCAATTTTCCGGCGAGCCTGACATAACCGGAAGTTGGAAATATTGAAGGTTTCCTAATGTACCCGGTGTCCCACTGTACCCCACCTTCCCTTACACTGTGGCAAAAAGGTACGGAAAATTCTGTTAATTTTTTGGCCAGGATTCTCCGTAGCCCTCTTATCAACATTCTCCGTAGGCTCTTACAGTATTCTCCGTAGGCTCTTACAGTATTCTCCGTAGGACCGCACAGTATTCTCCGTAGGACCTGGAAGACTGTATAGTCCTACGGAGTAGGGCTCTGACTTTTGCCCGGGTCTGCGGGTCTACCCGGAGCCTTGGGTCCACCGCCCTGGCAGTAGGCAACACGCAGTGCGCTCCAGTGGGCCGTGTTGCCTACTTCTAGGGCGGTGGATCCAAGGCTTCGGGTAAACCCGAAGACCCGGGTCCACGGGTTTACCCGCAAACCTGGGTACCCGGGTCTACCCGTAAACCCGGGTCTTACCCGGGCGACCCGGGTACCCGCGGTCCGCGTTTTTAAGAGCTCTACTACGGAGATCACTGTAAGGTCCTACGGAGAATTGCGGTCCTACGGAGAACATTGACAAGGGGGCTACGGAGAATTACGACAAGCTGGTTACAGAATTTTCCGTAGCTTTTCGCCACAGCGTAACAGTGGGGGGGGGGGGGGGTGCCCAAGAGTGCGTAACGTAACGAAAGGATAGCCTCTTGAACTGTGCTTTCAAAACAAGTTGTAACTTTTCATGTAGAACCTGCATATTCGTAGAAGCACCTTTCCGGCATTATGCATAGGGTACTCCAATGAGTTTTGAAACGAAAGTACGCTCTAAAAGCAGCCTCTGCGCATGCGCAGAAGCCCTCTTTGGGGCTTATCCTTTTGAAGTATATCAGATAAAATTGTTGGGCCTGTGAACGAAGAACTTTAGAAGTGCCCCCTGCCCCTCCCTCTTCGGTTTCTCATGTTACATCTTTCCCGGGGCCACCAAATATTTGTCAATGCCACGAATCTTTTGTAAGGAAGATTACGGAAATGTCGTCATCGTCGATTTTGATGAAATCTTGGAACAGTGCGGCAACATCAAATTCACTTTCTTCTTCGGCATGTTGCATTTGCGTTCTAGGTGCAAGTTATAACAGTTGGAACCACAGATGTGGCTACCTGCGGTGGTACTCTGATTTCGACAACACACGTTCTTACCGCCGGCCACTGCGTACCGTAAGTTAATCGCTGCAAGCTTAGGAGCAAAGGTGGTCGAAAACTGGTTACACGCGGTTACACGTCACACTGGTTATATGCCACTGACTACATACAAGCGTTGTTCAGCTGAAATCTTAGTGAGTGGGAGTGAGTGTCGGCTGGACGCGTATAATGCACTCTTAAAAACCTACGAAGCATTTGCTTCATAACTACAAAGAAAACGAAGGCATTGTAGAATTGCTTCGTATTGTGAAGGAATGCTTCGTATTACGAAGGATTTCGCTTCATAATACGAGAGCGATTCTCACGTTTCGGGGTAGTTTTGGCGTCTCTGATTTGCCGAAAGTGAGAAATATCCAATTAAGTTTTTCTGATTATTGGGGTCCTGGATGATACTAGAGTTATGGCAATGGTATTTATAGTCAAGACCTTGTACTACCTTCCTAAAAACATGAGCCATAAGGTATTCCCATACGTTTTAGTGGGTGTTTTGATCACGGAAATTACGTTATCACGGAAGTTACAAAGTGTGAAAATCGGCTTTAACGGCTGACTCGGGCTTGCTGTGGCTTAAAAGTCGTTCCAGGGTCAAATGATACTCTAAGCCCGACATTTAAGCGGAAAATTTTTTCACCTAGTGCTGCTGCAACATTGGGTAAAGGGTGCCACGGAAGTTACAGGTAATTGTTGATACACGCCATTTTATAATGCTCTAGCCCGCTTTGAGACCGTGTACAGCATCTTAGATTTCCGCGACCCATGCAATTATATCTCAGGGACTCCACTTTGATGGCTTGTGTCATGGAAAGTTTAAAGTTTGGCTTGGGGAGAAGTCCACAGCTGCCTTTTCGAAATTTGTGTAGTGAAATTGAATATACGGAGGACATTTTTCGTTGCAGCATAAGTACCTTTGAAAGAAGTCTGGCGTATTGGTCTTCGGTCGAAATTAGCTCGAGACATGCCAAGTTTCGAATCCCCATCGACAGTTGGCAGCATTTTCGAACCACACCACCACACTGGGGGCGGAAAGTTCGAGTATGTTCTCTTTGGACAATCACGGAAGTTACATTTAGGGTATTCCAAACGCTACGTAGACCAAACCAACGAACGTGAACTTTTCGAAATGTGTGCGTTTAGTGGGCAATGGCCCTCCCTAACATCAGAAACAAACCCCATGTCGATATCTGCGCTCGTTTGGGCACAGGAGTCAGAAGAAACGAAACTACCCCGAAACGTGAGAATCGCTCACGAAGCAGTTTTTCGTAGATTTTACAATGCCTTCAGTTTTTAGGGGTTCCGACGAAGGAGGACCCCTATTGCCCGGGACGGCTCAGATTCTTTCTTCCGCCGACGCAAATCTAAAAATGGTTCCCGCCAAATTACTCCTTATCCTAAAAAAATGAAAATTGCTGAAAATTTTGAAAATTTATCGTAAGAATTTAACGTAAACGACAAAAACATAAATTTGCAACAATGAAGCACCCTTATCCCTTCACATTTTCCAGAAACGTTTCAAAGACAAAATGTGCTACTCCCCAAAACTACACTGTTACAAATTTTGTCGTAAATTAGCGACAAGAAAGTCGCTAATTTTGATAGCGACGGAAATCGTTCTTAAAGTACTTCGTCGTAACTGAACGACTAAAATATCATTTCTCGACGACAATGTCGCAATCGCGATTACATATTTTGACATCTGAAATTCCCGAATAGTTGGTGAAAAGTTACAATTTTGCTCGCTTATTTACGATTTGTGTCATTCATTTACGATTCATAACACAATTTAACGACAATGGTCGTAAATGTACGACTGAAGTCATAACAGCACGACATATTCCATAGATAATTTACGATTGTTCGTAAACTTACGATTAAGTCGTAAATTTACGACTTAATTCGTTTCAAAACGAAACGTGTCGCTATCAAAATTAGCGACAAATATGTCGTACATTTACGACTCAAGTCGTATCTGTACGACTTGAGTCGTAACAAAATATGTCGTTTAAAAACGACATAATTGTTCTACAAAATGTCGTCAATTTACGATAATTTTTAACAGTGTAAGCATCCTGCCTCATCAAAGTGACAAAAAATCATGTCTGTTCTGACAAAATAGTTAAAACATGAAAAAAAAGTCACCATGGCAACGACACGATGTCATCGTACCAACTGTCAAAATTTAAAGTCGCCGATAAAAAGAAATCAAAACGCCGTGAAATTCGAAAATGCCAATGCTAACGCATTGCACGGTGTCCCGACATTGGAACATCTTTGAAGTCTGTCAGTAAAAAGTTCGAAGCAAAAAAGACGCAATAAATTAATTGTCGGGGGTTGGCAACAATTTTCTCGGCGTCTGCGCCCTTTCGAAAATCGCGAGGCTGAAAAAACGAGTAGTCGCGCATTGAAACTGCCCCTCCATTGTTGCTGAGGTTGAATTGTTTGGCTTGCTTTTAAAGGTTGCGGTTCTCTTGTGATGTTTTCCTCAATTCTGTAACCAGCACGACGTTGGTTTGACGAACTTTATAAACTCGGGAGAGGTGGTTTCGAAACGCGGATGACTTTAGTTTGACGAACATGAGCCCTGTAAATCGCGAGATCGCGAGATGGACTGAGATGGTCATTGTGTTAACTGAATCAGGTTTGGGGATGTAAAAATGCCGGTAGGATTCAAAGTTACGTAAATAACGGTAAAATTAACGTAATTAACGTTTAGACGACAGACTTCAAATTTATTTCCACAACCGGAACACCGTGCAATGCGTTAGCATTGGAATTTTTTGTATTACAAAGCGGTTCTTCGCAGAGTTTTTTCTGTGTGAGTGCGGAAGACGTAGCAGACCGTTTGTAGTCATAGTTTGAAAGTATATTGTAGGTTAGATCAAAATTCGCGTCCACCAGCGTGCGTTGACACTCGCTAATAGTGAAAAATTCCTGACACAAATTTGAGGTCGTGGTATTTGGCTTGTCGTCGGCAAACGGTTTGAAACAACTCTAAACTGAAAAGAAGAACAAAAAAACACGAAACACTGCGAGAAAAACTACGGAGAATCCTGTTAATTTTTTCACAGCGTCGCTATGTACCCAAAACTACAGTGATCTCCGTCTTTTAAAAGACGGAGCTCACTGTTGTTTTTGGTGTTCATCTCTCTGTTGTCCGAGCGGCCAATGCCACATCGGGACGGCATGGTCAAAGCCTCATAGGTCACCGTTGGGTCCCCGAGGACGTTAACGGGCACCTCACAGGGTCCCCGATGACGATGCGAGCATTTTAGACCTAGGTTCCGACCATTCGTTGAAAAGGTCTCGTCAAGATCTACTCGAATCAAGAATAAAAAAAAATTCTTGGTCAACCCCCTTTTTTCAAGATCCTGATTGGTCAACTGGATCTTGAAAAAAGGGGGTTGACCAAGTAATTTTTTTATTCTCGATTCGAGTAGATCTTGATGAGACCTTTTCAACGAATGGTCGGAACCTAGGTCTAAAATGCTCGCATCGTCATCGGGGACCCTGTGAGGTGCCCGTCGACGTCCTCGGGGACCCAACAGTGACCTATGAGGCGTTGACCATGCCGTCCCGATGTGGCATTGGCCGCTCGGACAACAGAGAGATGAACACCAAAAACAACAGTGATCTCCGTCTTTTAAAAGACGGAGATCGCTGTAGTTTTGGGTACAGAGCGACGCTGTGAAAAAATTAACAGAATCCTCTGTAGTTTTTTCTCGCAGTGAACTTGGGCGTTCCGATCGCTTCTTTATAGCCTCGGCCGATCCTTTAAAGATAAATATTGTGATTTTCACCTAGTCATTCACTCTCTACATTAACTTTTACCGCTTTTGGCAACGCAAAACAAGCCTCATGTTGGAGCTGCTCGTACTCATAATCATCGCAGTCCTAACAATATTCACCTTGCGTTGCAGAAGCCCCAAAGACGTAGGGAAGCTCCGCATATTCGTGGGCACCTCAGATTACCTCGGCCAGGGGAAGAACGGCAGAATGGTGAAAGCGAAAGCCTTGCGCCCGCACCCCAAGTTCACCATCATTCGGAACAAGGACGATGAGTACGGATACTTCGACGTGGCTGTCATTCGCCTGCAGGAGGCCGTCTTGCCCTCCGCGAAGACGTCCACCATCGCCATCACGCCGGCACGCGCAGAGCCCAAGGACGGGGCGAACATAGAAGTTGCCGGGTGGGGCATCTACAGGGTGTGTAAACAATTGTTGCAACTTCGGACGGGGCAGCCTATTTTACGTCATTTTAGCCTCACTACATTTCGACGTGTCCTAATAGAATAATCCTACACTACAAACCTAACTGTCTACTTAGTACACACTTACAAATGCATGCTTGGCCAAGTACGCACTTACAAATGCATGCTTGCAAGTACACACAAACGCATGCTTGACGCCGTATAACTCCATGGGTCAAGCATGCGTTTGTAAGTGTGTACTTGCAAGCATGCATTTGTACGTGTGTACTTGGCCAAGCATGCGTTTGTGTGTACTTGCAAGCATGCGTTTGTAAGTGTGTACTTAGTAGACAGTTAGGTTTGTAGTGAAGGGTCGTACACAAATGTATCACCGAAAAAAGGGCGCTACTTCCCCAGGAAAACAAGGGCCAATCTCGCTGATGTCTCACCTTTTTTTTTCGGTGATACATTTGTGTATGACCTTTTTTTTTCGGAGATACATTTTGCATCGTCAAAAATTAGTGGGATGTCGAACCCTTTGAACTATCACTGCAAATCAGAAATGTCCGCGTAATTATATGAGGATAAAACTTTGTAACAAGCCCTTCGGCGAGTAATTTTATGACGCATGTTTGCGTCATGGACTTTGAGAAAACACCGCTTATCACGTGATGTGCTGTTAGGATAGTTCTGTATTGACGCGAAAAGTTAGGATTGTCTTGGATCTGTTCTGACAGTTAGGATTGTCTAGGATCTACTCAATCTACTCTGGCAGTTAAGATTATTCTATTAGGACGCGTCGATTTAACGGGTCATTGTAAAAAGAATAATAACTGTAGGGATAGTACTTCGTCTGTCCGGTTAGTAGATTCGTCAAGCCCACAAATTCTCACAAACTGCCCCGAGGATAACCTACAAAACTTTTGTTTTAGTTTTATTACGATCACCTAATTTTTACCTGTTTCCATTCGATAGCGCCAAGAAATCTCCAGGAAGTTGCGGCGCGCCACTTTCAAAGTTATCAGTCGAGCCCAGTGCAAAATGGATTTCGGCAATGCTTTCAACGCTCAAGAGTTCTGCATCACTTCTGGTCCCAAGTCTGCGTTCTGCAGTGTAAGTACACCGTAAAACGGCGTCACTTCGGACAGCAAGGGTACCTTGATTCACTTCCGCTTTTTGGAGCTGCGTCCCTAGCGGGGTACATTCGGGGGCGAGGGGTCGGCAACTCATATATTACTTCGTACGCGGTGGCTATGTTACCCGTATATATTACCTATATATTACCATATATTACTTGCTTATTACCACAGTTTTGTATATACCCCTATACGTATTACTTTGAATTACTTTATATTACACATATATTACCTATATTACTGGTAATATACGTATACTCCCTCGTACACGGCCAAGGGAAGTTGCCGACCCCTCGGGGGTCATGTGAAAACTGTAGAGGCACTTTTTCATACTTGTTTGGAAATGTGATTGTACCGCAAAACGGGGCAATATGAGACAAATTCCAAGGTTGTTTCTTTTCTTCGTTTTTTTTTTGTTGTGAATTTCACCCTAGCGAGTACTTGCCAAGCATGCTCCAGCGTGAGGGAACATGCCAAGGTTGATTTTCGGTGGAGTGTACATGCCAGGTTGGCTCCAGGTGAAGTGTACGTGAAGCATGCAACGTACACACTTGAGTTTGTAGAGTTATCGCAGGTTGCGAAAAGTTCTTAACAGCTTTGCTATATTCTGCTTACAGGGTGACTCTGGCGGCCCCGCCTTCATCGGCAACGTACAATACGGAGTCGTTTCCTGGGGATCGTGCGGGAAAGAAAAGCCAAGTGCGAGTGTCCTGGCTGACTTGGCTGATCCCCAAATCAACTCATTCGTGAGAAATATGATGCGCACGCTGTAGACTTTGCGTTTCGCCGAAGTAGCCGGTGAAAGTTCACGTGATTCAGAGAAGAAATCAATCCTTTATGAATGTGTTCAATTGAAATAAACCTTATTGTAGATTGCTATTTGATGGTTCTTTCATAGCGTAATTAAGAGAGAGATATCAGTGATTTTAATTCTTTGATGGATTTCTGATGACTGAGGTTAACAGAGAGGGGTGGACAGGTTTACAGGTTTTGCCACCAGATGGCGCTAGTGTAGTAGTTCAAACATACAACGTCTCCCCCTTTAGTCTTTACAATAAAATAAAATTAAAAAAAAAACATTCATGATAAAATATTGCATTAAATTTTAACTAGGGGTACGCGCCGTTCAGTCTGGGCGCGTAGTGTGGCTGAGCGATGCGAATTGACATTTTTTGTGCACTTTGGACTTTGCTTGATTAGACGAAATGTCCATCTTATGGGCTAATATTCAGTGAACTTTAGACCAGGGGTACAAATGGAAGTGATTTTCGTCATCAGAACACCAAAAACTGCTGGAATCAATGTCAAACTCGATTTAAAAATTTTGGTCCAAAATTGGTCAAAATTCGGTGAAATATGAGTCTGGGAAAAGTTTGAAGGTCATTTTTGAGTTCAGCACACCAAAAACTGCAGGAAACAATGTAAAACTCAAAATGGAAATTTTGGTCCAAAATGATCTAATTTGCGATGAGAATATAAGTCTGGAGTCGAAATGAAAGTGATTTTCGTTATCAGCACACCAAAAACTGCTGGAATCAATGTCAAACTCGATTTAAAAATTTTGGTCCAAAATTGGTCAAAATTCGGGTAAGTGTGAGTCTGGGAAAATTTTGGAAGTCATTTTCGAGTTCAGCACACAAAAAACTGCAGGAAACAATATAAAACTTGACTTGAAATTTTTGGTCCAAAATGACCTAATATGGGATGAAAATATAGGTCTGGTGTTAAAATGGGAGTTATTTTCGTTATCAGCACTCAAAAAACTGCAAGAATCACTGTACAATTCATTTCAAAAAATTTAACCAAAAATCGGTTAAATTTTGGGTTAGGGGACAATTAAAATGTCAAAATTGAGGTCAGGGCACTGAAAACTACAGGGAAATACATAAATCTCAACTTGGAAAGTTTTGCCCCAAATTGCGTAGCTCTAGATGAAAATGTAGGATTGGCATTGAAATAAATGTAGTTTTTGTGACCAGTACACTGCAAACTACATACAATACTTAAAACTCAATTTCTGTATATTGTTCCTATTTGTCTTCATGAAGCACCCTCTGTCGTCACCAATTCCCTGATGCCACACCAAAGCGAATCCCTCAGTCGAGTAAAATTCAATTGCCAACATTGAATCGCTTAATTGGCTACTCGTATGCTTGGGTCACTATTCGATACCTCTTTTTCCATAACTAATGAACTCACAATTTTATAAGTTATATTTATGAAACATTTTGTTATTCTTTCATTGTGAACCAGTGAATAAAACAATATTGGTTGGAACATGTTATCACAGTAAATATTAAGAGAGTCAGTTTAGGGTAGGCTGATCTAAACCAGTTAACGGGGACAAATTATTGTCAAATCCAGTGTTTCGTCACATAGAGTCCAATGCCAAGGCTACCCAAGGCTTAATGAACCGACATAATTTATCTTACTCATGTAAACATTACTGAGTAGTACCAGTTACATTAACTTCGGTGAAGTTAAAGGAATCGTCTCACTAAATCCAATCACCAATTCACTCACCGCTCAAAACCTGAGTCGTCTCTTTGAAACCAATGTCAATTCAAACTCCATTAGGATTAAATATACACAACCATATATTGATTCTATTAATAAACTCATGTTAGTACTTTTGGACTCTTGTCAGCTTGCAGCATTGCAATAGAATGAATTTCTCGAGTCCAAACTAAGTATGCCTGCCAATTTCAACACAAGTTATTTATGCATTTCCCTGATTTCCTCTAGTTTGAAAATTTTAAAAAGAGGATGACACTAGAATGAAATAAGAAGATGCACACAATACAAAAGGTCAAAATAAAAACATCCTTTTTACAAAGCTTTGTCAAAGTGCACTGACCTGAAGATGATTCCCCTCTGACAGGGGAGGGGGGAGAGGGGAACGAAACACGTAAATCATTTTCGAATCCATTTTCCATATTTCGCTGTGTTGGTGTTCCAAAATGGTTTTAATCATTCTAGAATGTTGAAAAACTAAGGCCGATCTCATTTCCAAACCCATCTACTCTTTATTTCGTTTTATTTGCTTATTTGCTTAAGTCCCGTATTTGAGAGCCGCGGACCCGCAGGTATGAGAAATTGGTAAGCGCTGCCGCGCTGCCAACCTAACCACGCTAATGACCTGATTCAAAAATATGTTCTGAATATTTCAAACGATACTAAACAACGATTTGAAACAAACTCGTGTTGGGGGGTACTAAGGCGACGTTAAATACGAAATCTTGAAACTATAGCCACTGTAGTTGCTGAGAATCGTTGGTGAGTACAAACAGACTCACAGACAGACAGACAGACGCACGACCAGTCACTTTTCAGCGCGCCCAAACACGGCAAGGGCTTCGCTAACGCTCAGCCAAAAAGAAGTTAAGGAGTTTGTGGCACTACTTACTTTACTAATACACATTACTAACATCTCCCCGTTTTGGTTGAATGAATTCGGAAATAAGCTATTTGGTGGTCCTCGCTAAAAACATACATTTAGAGAACACCAAGGGTCTTTGTACCGGCAAAATCGGATTCCTTGTCCAAAATTACGCCTTGAAAACTTTGAATCACTCATCTATCACATTTATTACCCGATCTGGGACAGGTCTTCAAATTTACCCCAATTCTACCTCACGTGATTGCAAGACTTTTGAAGGCTGCCATTTCCAAACAACTGGAGCTACAGCGGGGAAATTTCACACAAACTTTGACATTACTTACAACAGTATTTTGACTTAATATGAGGTGGAGATGGTCACGCGAAAGGTGGCTTATCTGATCTAAAACTACCCAGAAAAGACGGTTTTCCAATTTTTACAGCGCCACTGCCTTGCACACGGCGTACACAATATTTTAAAATTGGAACATGATAGTTTGGTCCTTTATCTATAAAATCCACTCATCGGATTGGCGAAAATTGATGCTGAACACTAAAACCCCAAGAAAAGTAAAAACTACCACAAAAACTGGAAAACAGTCAAACATCTTTTTAAGGCTGTCCTATCAACAAACGGGCGCCGGATTCGTGTTCCCCGCGTGATTTCAATTGAGATATTCCCAACTTTGTGCTCAAAGACTTTTTGTGTGTCAATTCTTGAATACCCAGTGGAATGCCTGTTGCTTATGGAATACTGTGAAAATCATACAAGTTTATGAACACCAAGTCACCTTTATTATGAGTCTGCCACTACAGAGAGCAATGTTTTGGTTTGCTTTCAACGTTGGATACCATCAGAAGCAGTCACCCTGTCCACGAATTGATTCAGAGGGGCTGCTCAGAGTACCTTATAAGGTTAGTACATTTTAAACAAAAGACTGGGTATGAAGTGATGGTGGCTTTGAACTATAGTTTTTATTTAAATAAAATAAAATTTAAAACCAGTCCATGTGAGAGCAGAGTTGGGCGGAAATGATTTGAATTCACCAACATGCTGGTGATAAGTTCCACCGCTCAGTTTTTATGTGAGACATGAAGACTGCTGTTCTCGTGAACGGTGCCGCATAATTTGATCACAATTGTCTCGTCAAATTGAGCATTGCCTTTGTCACGTTGAAAGAAACGTGACTGCTTTCCAGCTGGCTAGTGTCACGCTCAAATTAATATGACAATTGAACCAAGCCTGTCACGTTCCTTTGAGTGTGACCTGTCACGTTTAAAGGAACGTGACGTCACATTCGTTGAATAACATACACTGTTAAAAAAAAAATCTTAAAATTCAGACCAATTTTGTAAGACCTAGTGGTCTGATTTCTGAATTAAGACCGGAAGTATGCGAAAGATGAATCCTCGGATGAAATTTAAGACTTTCGCCGTCTTAAAAGCAAATTCAGACCATCCAGACAAAAAGTCTGACAGGAGTGACCGGAAATTCAGACTAAGTATAAGACCATGTAGTCTGAATCGTCTTTTCAGACTATTCTACTGAAAAGGAAGGGCGATTGATCTTAAATTTCAAACTGGTTGTTTATTTTGAGACCATGGCTCTGAAACGGGAGACGTATTGTTCTTAAATGTCAGACTGGTTGCCTCACTTGACCAAATTTAACTGCAATATTTGAGCGCTCGATATAAAATCTTAAATATTCACGAACAGCTCGAGTTGTCCGCAGTTTAACTCCCGCAACACGCCCTAGGTTTGTTTATTTGTGGCCTCCCTGCGTCCAGCGAGCGCGCTTGGAGTCATCGGCATCCTGCAGCCGTGCCCTCAGAGCGGTCCCGTGGTGTAATGGATAGCCCGCAAGGCCGACGAGCGAAGATTCGATGGTTCGAATCCCCAAGATATTCGGAGTTTCCGAGTAAAGAGCACGGCCGATAAGTAACGCTCAAGTTCTATCAATGACTTCTCTCGCAATGGAGTGAAGGTTCAACGTTACAATTTTGTGTTTTTGGCTGAATTTTCTTCAGAGCGGCCGTGTCTAATAATTCAGACCACCTAAATCTTAATTTTCAGACCACCCAATTCTAAACTTTGAGACAACCCTATTCTAAATTTTCAGACCGCCGAAATGGTCTGAAATTTCAGAACCCCTTACTGTTAATTGACTTCAGTCAAATTTTGTCTGAAATTTCAGAATATTTTTTTTACAGTGTAGTGACGAAGCAAGAGCGTGACTGAAATTAATTACTACTGCACGACGATGCCGACTGCGCGGCAATATAAGTCAGTCCTACCGACACGTCGCGGTATGTAAGCGCCATGCTTTGCCTGTTGCTGACCGCATTCGTCATCGGGGCCGGTAAAAAAATTGTTCGAATGAAAATAAGCGTAGCAGACATATTCAGTAAAATTGGCTTCAGTCCGTTTTAATTTCTCTCTCCAAAAGTGAGATTAAAGTACTTACGTTATAACACACTCGGCAAACCTTTCCATGTTAGACTTTACGGACAAACGTTGTGTTGTAAAAAAAAGGTAATATGAAGGAGCATGCATAAGCGTACAAAGAAAATACAAAGGGAGAGTGGGGCGATTCGTAACAGGGGCGATTCGTAACAAATTACTGCAAAGCCAGTGGTAAGTTTCCTTGCCACAAATTTGGCAAGCCGTTTTGAATGCCAAAATTTGGCAAGCTTTGATCGGCACTCTTCATAAGCTTGTCAAATTTTGGCAAGCTGGGGAGTATTTCCGGGCCAAGCTTGCCAATTTTCGGCATTCAAAACGGCTTGCCGAATCCGTGGCAAGTAAACTTACCGCTGGCATTGCAGTGATGCGTTTGTTAATTTAAGTGGAGGGAGCAGAGGAAAATCTGAGTATGGCCCCTCCTTCGCTTCAAATAGAAGGTCCTTGAACAGTCGAAGCGGATATGATCGGTGCTCAGGTATAGTTTCGGAGCGCGTCTGAAATATAGGGTACACCGAAAACAGGCCAATCTTTTATTTCAAGTTCTAGTAAGTTTCTGTCTGAGGTTCCCCAGGTATGAATCACCATCGAAGTACCGTTTGGGCCTTGAAGCGTGACCCTTTTACAATGTAACCACGTGGCATAAGTTGCCTTTACGTTGTCCTGTCAGTTAGGAACGTATTTCTTGCGTAACAGGCATTTGGGGTGATTCGTAACAGACCCGTATAAAAACAAGAATTTAAGTAGTTTATGCAATTAAATGCTTGAGTTACTTCTCAAATCATCTGCTGCCCTATTCCAATACATTTACACAGCACAAAATGCTTTTCAAAGCGAGTTATTCTAATCTCTCCTCCAAAATTGAAAGAAAGTGAGGTTACGTTTGACATATCCGATCAGTTAATGCTGGGGCGGTCAACGGCAGCTTGTAATGTAGATTTTAAGGCGCCTGCAGGACATCCGAAGAACAACTGCTGGAGGAGATAACATTCCCGACGATGTTTCATTTGATTTGTAGGACGTTATGAAAAGCCCCACGGCTGTTACAAATCAGCTCATGGCGGGGCGATTCGTAACAGCATGCAGGGGTTTGGAAAGCGTCTTAGATTTCCAAGGATTCCAGATTAATCTAATGGAGCTGTACAGTCTAGATGAAGGGCCAGACTGCTCAACTGGCACAAGTTTGGAACCTATATGCAGAATATTCTTTATTTTGTATAGAGAATTCCGAAATCTGTTACAAATCGCCCCACTCTCCCTTACGCCCTTTTACCCGCAATTTTTCCTGCAGCGTCGGCGGCTGCCGCAGGGACCAACCCCTTTGAGGAGAGCAAGATCATCGGCGGAAAAACATCTCATGTGGACGACGCTCGCTTCATGGTAAACCGAAACGAAATGGAAGCCTGGTAGTCCTGTGGCATTTCAGTCGATTTCTTTGGCTTACCCTACTTTGCATTCTATTTTAAGTCTTAGCCGACTTGCAATATCCTATTCCGTCTTTGAGATCTTTAAGGAATTCTGGAAACACGTTTGGATGAATAATGTTCCTACACTGCCAATCCAAGTGTGAGACAGTCTCACACTTGTAAGTGTGGGACAGTTTGTCTAACGCTTACAAGTGTGAGACACGTTTGTCTCACGCCTGCAAGTGTGAGACAAGGTTTGTCCCACACTTGCTGCCTTGCCTATGCTAGCTCTGTGGTTCAATGCCACGGGTCCCACGCCTGCAAGTGTAGGACAAACCGTGTCTCACGCTTTCAAGTGTAAGACATCGATGTCTCACACATGTAAGCGTGAGACAAATTGTCCCACACCTACAAGTGTGAAACTGTCTCACACTTGGATTGGCAGTGTAGTGGTTGGCCGTTTTTGCACACTCAGAAAAGCTTGCAAAGAAAAGTACTTTGCAGTGTATTCTCCGGCATTGTATTACAAAACCCCTTGCGAACTTTTCTCTCTTAGCATTGCAAAGAAATAGTTCGTAAGTTGCAAAGGAAAACGTTTGCAACGTTGCGAAGCATTGGTTTGTAACGTTGCAAAGCATTTTCTTTGCAAGTTGCAAAGTAATACTTCGCAATGCAAAGAAAATAGTTTGTAAGAGAGTTTGCAATACAATGCCCGAGAATACTTTGTAAGGTTTTTTGTAGTGTTCTAAAGGGCAGGAATATTCCCGGGAATTTAGGGAATTCCCGGGAACGTTCCCGGGCACAATCAGACCCTAAAAATGGGAAATTCCCGGGAATTTTCAAAAAATGGCTAAAACAGCTGGTTTTTGCAGGAAAAACGTAGAAAGTGCAAGGTATCAAGTAATAATTATAAAACACTTGAGTGTATTTCCATTTTCTTTCAGAAGAGAACAAAACAAAACGTTTCGTAATCAAAAATTTGTTTTCTATCAAAAAATTTCATATTAAAAATTTAACTTTTATCAAATAAGATGGGTTTCACATGAAGCAATGTTCCCGGCCAATTGGGAATATTCCCCTAAATGATTGTTCCCGGGAATTTTCGATCACTAGTTTTTTGAGTGCAGTAAAGGGCATTCCACGTCAAACCATCATGGTCCAAAACGTACTTACTCAGATCCAGCCCTCATTTTTTTCTATCGTAGCCTGCCACCCAAAGAACACTCACATTATTAATTTTTTTAAATTCAGTACTTTCGCCGTGGTAATATTTCAAAGTTTAAAATAAAATTTCAAAACTTTTTTTAAATTTTAAGGCGCTCAGATGGGTTGTAAACAGTGAAGGGCAACTTACTATAGTGAAAAACAAACTTGGGACCCCTGCCTGAACTAGAAAACTAGTTTTTGACTAAAAACACCGTTTCTTGAATTCCCAAATTGAATTCAATTCGATAGTGTCAAAAAAACTCTGAAAGTTTTCTTAGATTTTCCCCCAAAACATGACCAAATGGGACCAGTGTTGGTCCCGTGCATAGGAATAATATCCAAGTGTCTGTCTTAAAATTCCGAGGTGAATGTCAGCATTATAATAATTAAGGCATAATATAGGAAGAAAACGTATTCCGAAACTCTTGTAATGCTGACCCTTACCACTGAAATGGTTCCATGGTGTTAGAACAGATTATTGGATATTATTTCAATGCTCGGGACCAGACGACAAATTGCCAACCGTACAAGCGGATAATACCGTATGGACCACACTAGGTAATGTGTACCACCACCCCTGACGTATACTCTGACCAGAAAACGAAGAGCCCTGGGTTCTCGCGGTCGAGGGCTACCTGCAATGCTAGCCAAGGCGGCAGATGTCATAAACCGCGAGGACTCAGGGCTCTTCGTTTTCTGGACAGAGTATAAGGACGGGTCCTTCCAGTGACCCCTTTCGATTTCCGCACTAGATGGCTTGGCGGATTGCTTACCTTAGTAGATGTCCAAAAATAAATTATAAGGTCGCTCGGAGCCTTCTTGGCTGGGTTATAGCTAACCTTATTTTTTTCCCGCACCCATCTGTTACTCTGCAAAGAAGCAAGATACAAACATGCCGTTTGAGGCAAAACATGCGAGATGGTGGATGATACACTGGTAAAACTAAAGCGTTGTATTACCCTGTTTTTAAGCGTTATCAGTTTACGCTTGAAATCAAGCGTAACAGGTTCATCCGCCAAGTTTCCCCTAGTATGGGGGAATTTCCAGTCTATGCCTTTCAAGCGTAATGTCTTCAAGCGTAACTTTATGCTTGACTCAAGAATAGAGTTACGCTTAAGTTTTGCCAGTGTACATTTTAATCGGCAAGACTGCAGCACCTGTCGTTTTTCATTAATTCTAAAATATTCTCGAAAAGTAGTCTTTTACCCGCTTTTACAGTACATTTACGCGTTTTATTAAGGGCAACGGCCCCCTTGACACTTTAGTCGGCAATAATTTCGAAGAGTTGTGGCTTGTGTGTGGCTTCGGTCTAAGTAATACATAGTCTAAAGAATCTTCACACGGTAAAAACGGTACCTGGTTTTCCCAGGAAACCTATGGCAGAGACATAGGCGATTTCCAGGGAGTTCCTGGGAAAACCAGGAACCACCTTTACCGTGCAAGTCGAATGAAATTTCGAAACTGATAATCAACCTTCTTCATCAACTACTGCATTTTGATTCTAGGTGCAAGTTATAACCATCGAGTCTCGAGACCCGAAGACCAATCTGAGCACCATAAATATCTGCGGTGGGACTATGGTTTCTACAACACACGTTCTTACTGCCGGCCACTGCATAGTGTAAGTTCGTTCTTGCTAGAGGGCGGGCAATTTCACCCGGAAAAGGAGAGGGAAATTTGAACGTCATCGCATTACACGTTATGCTGCACTGGGAAGTCTGTGTAAAGATTTATGAATGATTCATTACAGATGACATAGAAAGATGGTTACACTTGATCCAGGAAGCGGAAAAAGGGGAAAACTCCATTTTGACCACACTGTTAAAAAAAGTCTGAAAATTCAGACCAATTTTTTCAGACCTAGTGGTCTGAATCAGAAATTCAGACTTGAGTCAGAATTTTCAGACAGTTGGTCTTAATTTTACACCTTGTGGTCTGAAAAATGAGTTTCGGACTCAAGAGTCTGAATATTTGGATGGCGCGGTATAAATTTTCGGCGTCGGGGTCTTAAAACAGTCATTTGTAGTAGAAGGTCTGAATTTTCATCCTGCGCAGTCTGAAATTGACGCTTTATTTTCTGATAAAAGGCGTGACTGCGTTTCAGGTGCTATGGACCCTGAATTGCTAGAGCAGTAGTAAATAGACTTTTGCTCAGCTAAGCGAACGGCCGTCTAGTGTTGAGTTTAAAATCAGCCTGCACTCCGCTGGTAGCTGCAGGATGCATATGTTTGCCCTGGTTCCGGCCTGGACCGAAGCCCGGGTCACCCGAGCCGAGCCGAGCCGCTCCGGCGGCGGCCAGCCGAGCCAGGCACACCGAGCCGAGCCGGGGGCGTTCGGAAAATCACCGCGGACCGGCGCACAGTGGGACGAAACGCCAAAAACGCGGTGAGAAGTGGATTTTTGAAAATTTAGCGATGGGGTCCAACGAACTATCAGACATTTGCAAGAAAGGTCTGGGCTACACGGGACACTGCTTCGTTCGTCAATATTTCACACGTGTGAGCCCTGGGGGGGCGCCGAACTTGGTCATTTTTCCGGTTTTTCGCGCACTTACTGTCAGGGGTGTACTGTTTGTCCTCTACTGGCCGTGTCGTTTTAAATAACCTCATCATGTTATATATTTTTGGAAAGCTGAGAACTTGACGAATCTAACGCACTCCTCGGATTTAAATTTTGAGTAACCTATCAGAAGTAACAAGCCAAAGAAAGTAGAGTAAAATCGTGTCTTGGACGATTTTCACGTTGAGATAAGTCGAGTTGCGCACATTTGCGCACGGGTGGGAAAAATGTCCGTGACAGAGCAGCTTCTCTACTTTCGGGCCCATACCGCCGAATGCTCCGCAATGCTCCGCGTTTTGATAAAATCAACTTTAAAAATGCGTTTTTTCGCGCGCCGCCGCGCCGCCCGGCTCGGCTGGCTGGCCAGGCTGTGCGGTGCGGCGCGCGCGCGCGCGCGCTGCCGGGACGTACTGTTTTTAGGTCAAGCGTATCAAAGCTTGAGCTATTACTCGCAAAATGTGCGAGGCTGTGTCTACAGTTTGGTCAGAGGCCTAGGTTTGGGATCTGTGGAGGCTGGGGCTGGGGAGGCCCGGGCTGAGGCAATGTACACTGCTCAGAAACATACCAAAAAGGAATATATATATAGGGGGGGGGCCGAGCGTCGCCGTGGCCGTGGCCGTGGCCGTCGCCGTGGCCGTTTTTCGACTTCACGCCTACCAGGGTAACAAGAAAGCTGAGGAGGTCGACAGTTTCTTTTGGTGCAGCTTGCACCATAAAGGCCCTCCTATGGACCGCGGCCTGCGTGACCCCTCCGGCCCCTCCCGCGCACAGCAACGCGCGGCGCGACAGGCCCGACGCCCCCCTCCCCCTCCCCCTCAGCCGCGCCGCCGCGGCCCCTGTACGAGCCGTCATAAACGGCGCTCAGCAAGTCCCCAATTTTTACGGCCGTCGATATGTAAGACTTCTGTCTTCGCGATGCATTTTGTACGCAACCACACCAATTGTTTTTAGCGAGTGTGACAGGCCAATAGCTCATGATTAGACGGCAATTTTGATACCAAGCAACACGAAAATGTGACGGGAGGGAAGATTCAGCCTGCGTGATGCGTTCTGTGCGCAATCACGGAGTTCTCAAGTGAAACAAAACCGCGGCCACAGCTAGGCCGAAACAGAGCCCGGCGCCTCCCGGCCAACGCCACCAGTACCGCGGCCGCGCACACCCAAGCTTGACCTGACCCTGAGCTGAAGCAAAGCTCTCAGCAGAGGTTTTTTTTTCTTAAGATATAAGAAATGTCTTAATGTGCAACTGTGTTTGTTTACCCCCCCCCCTCCCTTTTCTTTCTCGTTACTTTTTCTGGTCTGATTTTGTCAGAAATGGGTTTCTCGCACCCGAAAACCCCCGGATAGTGATTTCGGTAGCGATAGTCGCACGCGTTCCTGGTTTACCCCCCTATCGATTGCCGGATCCGCCCCTGGCGGTACTTTTTCTGGTCTGATTTTGTCAGAAATGGGTTTCTCGCACCCGAAAACCCCCGGATAGTGATTTTGGTAGCGATAGTCGCACGCGTTCCTGGTTTACCCCCCTATCGATTGCCGGATCCGCCCCTGGCGGTACTTTTTCTGGTCTGATTTTGTCAGAAATGGGTTTCTCGCACCCGAAAACCCCCGAGTAGAGATTTTGGCATTGATTTGAGCACTTTATAATTATCACCGCGTTTTTGGCGTTTCGTCCCACTGTGCGGCGCACTATGGGTCAGAATCAGAAAAACCTTTGCAAAATGTCTACCATGGAAACGATTTGAGTTCTCGATGTGAAATTTCTGTGAGGGGGGTTTTGAGGTGCGCTGAATCCATTTCTGGCGTCAATTTGAGTCAGTGGCGTACCCTAGACCCAGTGGCGTAGCCATGAAACACAAATTTTCAGAAATCTTTCCGAATGTTTACTTGCCGAAGTGTTTCCAGGTGCGCTGAAACCATTTCTGGCGTTATTTTGAGTCAGTGGCGTACCCTTGACTCATTGGCGTAGCAGAACAGCATGAAAAGTGGCGATACACATCGGCAACTTTAGCTTGTCCCGTACATTTAAAAATTCTCGAATTACGCCTATGTTTAACCGTTTCGGGTTTTGAACCTAGGTCTGGGTCTAAATGAATGTTATTTTCGTCATTAGCAACCCCAAAAACATATTAAAGAATGCAAAGATTGATTTAAAAAAAAATGGTCCCCCCACCGGGATTTGAACCCGGGTCCAAACCTCTCCGATTTGCTGGAAACTAGCACCGTTGGCTTTTTCTTGTCGCCCCGATTCCAAAAATACCCCTGCATGCCATTCTCGCTGCATACTGTGCCTAAATCGGGCGTAAATCCTCTTCGACCCTATGTAGACCATGATGCACCTGCTGCACCAAGCCCGGGGCTCGGATCGGATTTGCTGCCACGGGGCAGCTCTAAGGGTCACCCAAGGAGGCTGCATACCAAATTTGGTGAAGATCGGACCACGGGAAGTCCCAAAACGAACGAACAGACGAACGGACGCATAGCACGCATCACACTAAATGTTTACGAATATCGCGCCTTTTGGGCCTCTCGGCGCAAATTGGCGCAAATTCCGCTTGGTGCATTCGAAAGGGGACACTTTAAGCTTCACATCGCGATAAGAATCAGGAGGTTGCAAGAGGTTGGCAAAGTTTGGCAGCCTGTTTTGTGAGAGAAATGTATAAAAATATTGACAAATGTGCATGGTCACTTGGTTTTGGCTCTAGCGGCAAAACTATAAACGCTACCTGAAAAATTTTGGTACCAATGGAAAGACGAGGTCTCAAACTACGGGTAACCGTGCTTGTACAATCTTCAAACGAAGTAGCGTCCCGTAGAACGACGCTGAAAGAAGGTACATTTTCTCCGCTCCGCGCTGGGTCGCGCGCTTGCTTCCAAACGGTGGCGACAAAAACGTCGAGCCTGGCGACCAGGTGGGGGATAGAGACGAAGTTTTTTCGTCTTTTAGCAGCGTTGACATTCCTCTTTCACACCTACGATCTATTTTCCCACAATTCAGAACTTGACGAATCGTCATATTGCAAAGGTTTTTCCGATTCTGACCCACAGTGCGGCGTGCCGGCCGAAGCCTACCTGCGCGGGGCGGGGGGAGAGGAGGGGGCCCTTAATCCCTCGGCCACTCGGGATTTCTGGACAGAATGCGTCAGTTTTAGCTTGTCTCCAGAGCAGTGCACTTCGCATCCGAATACAAGTCCGCGTCGCGTGTCATCTTTCTTGTGACGCTCCGTCGTGAAGCAACGTTTTATGTGTTACATCGGCGCTCAGCACAGTGTGTACAGTGCCGTTTTGCCTTCGCCTTTCTGTGCTCCAAAATTGCTTCTGGGTGCGTGCAGTCACCACTCTGAAGCATCCGAAATCCGCGGCCAGCAGGCTGTGAAAGTGGCGTAGCCTTATACTGATATTGCGTCTTCCAAACTAAAGGGACGGGTGATGAGCGAGTGGGCGGCGTTTTGGAAATTTGTCACTCCTCTTTCATCCTTGTCCCCAAAGTATTTTCATCGTGCCGAAAAAGTTTCCACAAAGTGTGCATCTGGATCCAACATGCTGCTTTCAAGTGTTTACAGCTGCATCTTCTGGAGTCTTACATTCGAGGACTAGTTTTTCTGGGAAGCTCTCTCAGCAAAATATCATATCTAGTTAAAGTTTTGCGCAACTTTGGGTGCTACATTTAACAAATAGAGCGGTTTTACAACTGCTCTATTTAGTGCATGCATTCCATGTTTCTCAGCAATTAAAAACATGCATTTCCAAAACATAATATACATCCTGACAAAAGTGGTAATTTTATTACCTGGGCGGCTTAGAATTCAAACCCGCGAGGTGAAAAATTCAGACTGCCATTAGTCCGAAAATTCAGACTACCTGGTAGTCGTAAAATTCGAAGTACATGCTAGTCTGAAAATTCAGACGACAGGTGGTCCAAAAATTCAGAGTGTACGGGGGTCTGAAAATTCAGACCACTGGGTTTCAAAATTGACTTCATCCTAAAAAGTCTGAAAATTTCGACTTTTTTTTTAACAGTGATTTTTCAGGAGCAACAAAAAACGGTTAGCAGGGAATCTAAAACTAAACTATGGAATGTTGTAGATGATAACAAGTTCAAAAAATGTAAGTTAAATTTTGAGATGAGCATCAGGAGTGTCAGGTCACTGCATATAGGACATGAGTGACTTATCACTTTCCGCTAAAATGGAAAACAGAGTCATCTCAACTTATATTTCATAAACGAAGTGGAATGTGGAGACATGTCAAGTTGAACTATGGCCAGCGGAGAGTGTTGGTTCCTCTGGTGCATTTTTTGGACTTAGCTCCCTTTTTCCGTTTGAGTTCTTAAAATTAAAGGTGGGTAAGTTGACTTGATTCTTTTTACAATGGATACATAAAAGCACAAGTTGAGTTATCGCCTATCAACAATATGTTCAACGGAGTCATGTTGACTTTGGTTGAGACGTTTCCATTTTCCGCTAAATTGAGAGTGTAAAAGGGGTCAAGTTGAGTTATATCTTTTTTCGAAGTGGATTTTCTCTTTAACTGCTAGGAATTTAGTCCAATTTTTTGGTGCACTGATGCAAACCATTCTAAGGCACAACAAACATCATAAAAACTCAATTTGGAGATAAGTCGAATTATTCCCTTCTTCCCACTGTAAAAAATTAGTTCGTAAATTTACAAACAATTTATGGGTAATTTCGTTGCACAAATTATCTGTAAATTTACAACGTTTTTTTGTTTCTTGACGTTTTATGAATTATTCTTCACGCAGTAGTTTGTGAAATCACAAACTTTTTACACGCTCCAAATTACGTGGACCGCTTTTGTTCTACCTTGTCACGCTGATTAAATGGAGATTTACTTATTTCAGCGTTTTTGTTTTGTTTTATGAAACATCTTGTAAAATGATGAAGGCATCACCATATCTCGTAATTTTACAAGCGATTTGTGCAACGGAATTACCCAAGCATTTGTTGTAATTTTAGGAAACTTTTCATATTTTTTGGACATTGCTGTACTATTATAGTCACGTTTGAGATGTATTTCGTTCCTACGATTTCATAAGGCGGTGTTCACAAACAAATTTCATAAAATTAAGAAGATTTCTGTGATGAATAATTCATAAAACGGCCTCTACGAATAAATTTCATAAAATAACGAAATGTTATTGTTACTTTACAGGGAATTTGTAAAAAAAAATTCGTAAATTTACAATAATTTTTTACAGTGCCGCTTCCTGGATCACTTATCTTCTGGGTTAGCGATAACATATACCAGAGGTCGGACTTGTGAACGATTGCGGCTGGCCTGGGGTCCGTCTGACTCGCTCTGTGTCACACACGATGGCAGCCGAAGTTGGCTGAGGCCCAGCCCTGGCAGCCGACTCGCGCCAAAGGCCACTGTGGCAAAAAGCTACGGAAAATTCTGTAAACAGCTTGTGGCACCCTTGTCAATATTCTCCGTAGGCTCCTGCAGTATTCTCCGTAGGACCTTACGGTGTTCTCCTTAGGACTTTACAGTCTTCCAGGTCCTACGGAGAATATTGATAAGAGGGCTGAGGGCTACGGAGAATCCTGGCAAAAAAATTAACAGAATTTTCCGTGCCTTTAATACTCGATGAACCAGCATTGATTTTAAACCTTACCCGGAGTGCAATGCAGTCTGGTTCTGACTCAGTTCGAGGCTGGAAAAGTCAAATGCACACTGAGAATGAAAAAGTCTTGATCAATACCCAATTTTGGGCGAGGTATACCGTTTCGCCCAAATTTGGATAAGGAACGTTTCCTCGCCGAAATTCGGGTGATGAAGGGAGTGTGAGCTACCTATCCGGCCAGATAGTAACCGGGTTACTCACCCAAATTTGGGTGATGAAATATGCGTCACCCAAAATTTAAGTCGTGATTTTGACTGTTTTATTCTCAGTGTAGGACCTCGAAGTGCAGCACCTCGGTTATTGAGACAATCCAGGTCATGCATGACCCAAAGACGTTTCAACGCGGGGGGGTAGCCACATCAAGAATTCGTGTACAGACTACTCTGTGTTAGCCTACGCGGTGTTACGCTGTATAACGGAAATATTTCACGTTATTACGGCCTTAAAATGACGAAATTTGGTACTTTTACTCAAAAAAGGTATTAAAAGTTCACGTGTATTAGGGGTAGGTTGGGGAAGAAAAGTACAAAACGCGTACTTTGCACTGTACAGAAGTTCCAAATGAGGATTCAACTATTCTGCTCTCGTGAACTTGTAATCCAATGCCTTCCTAATGAAATGGATCACTGTTCATTGATTATAGTTCCCCACATTACGTACAACATGCCAAAATGTATGTGATTTCGGAACTCCTCGAAAAGGGTAAGAAAAGTACACCACCGGGAAAGAAAAGTACACCGAAAAGGATTGCGATTTCGAACCAGGAGACCACCAATCTTGGCTCAATACAGGTTTACCCCTTAAGTGGAGAGCTTTCACTTGCCATTAGTTTAAGTTTCGTCAAAATCGGTCAATTGGTTCTGATTCTACATGGACTCATCACAGAAGGTTCAAAAAGCCTTTTCTCAGAGATAAGTGGGTACAGCATTTTTGTACTTTTCTTCCCCTTTTCACGTAAATGCCCAATAACTTGTTTATTCTAAGTCTAATTCTATAACTTGTGTTGACATTTTTTGCTTGTCTCGCCTAATCAAATCTATTTCCATGATCAATTCAATTTTCATCCCGGTTTTAGTTTCTTAGAGGGTGTTCTTTTCTTCCCCAGCTGACTGTACTTTTCTTCCCCATTTCATTTTTACACTTATAAAAAATTGTATTGAAGCCTAAGAGCATCGAACGGCACTGTTTTTCAAAGATGATGGTCTAAGCTAAAAGGTGGTGCCTTACATTGGACTGTCGGCTGATTCTGCAGGAAGCTGTACTTCAAAGTACAAACATTTAAAAAAAAGATTTTCTTAGTTATTTTTAATGTTTTTTTTCAAGCGTGCAGTTTGATTCTAAATATTATATGTAGAACTGGGCTAAATTTATTTTTTGTCAGCGGGATGACCAATCTTTCTAAAACCACTAACGTGGTGGTTCAGTGTAGTTTCAGTTCGGAGATATAACGGGTGTTCTTTTCTTACCCGAGCCTCGAGTGTACTTTTCTTACCCTACCAACCCCTACGCGAAATACACGATTTTTGTGTGCACGGTACTACGCGAGTGTTCTACCCTTCGTTTCAATGGCCATATCCGACCGTATCCCGAATCCTTGGTCGACAAATGCACGAATAGAGTGAAATAACCCATCAACTTTAATACATTGACGTCTGTCTTGGGCAAGCTTTTCGGAACAATTTATTGCACTTAAATGCATCAAAGCCATAACAAGAGTTTTTTCCTTTATTGAAGCTCCAAGGACGTGGGAAAGCTGCGAATATTCGTGGGCACCTCAGATTACCTCGCCCAGGGGAAGAACGGCAGAGTGGTGAAAGCGAAAGCCTTCCGCGTGCACCCCAAGTTCACCGTCATTCGGAACAAGGACGATGAGTACGGATACTTCGACGTGGCTGTCATTCGCCTGCAGGAGGCCGTCTTGCCCTCCGCGAAGACGTCCGCCATCGCCATCACGCCGGCAGGCGCAGAGCCCAAGGACGGAGCGAGTATAGAAGTGGCCGGGTGGGGCATCTACAGGGTGTGTATAAGATAATTGCCCTTCACTATTTCAAATGTTCGGAGTTTTACGTTACAGTGGTTTAGGAAAATTACTAGACATAGTATTAGAAACACTGCATGGTTACGCCACATAGTTGCTTGTTGTAAAAGGCTTAGCAATGCTGTGCCAGTTCCGCCGACAATCCAACGCCTGGCGTTTACACCTACGGTACCACGGCCTCGCTTCGCCTGCGGCGCTGGTCTGCCTTCGGCAGGGTCTTTTGCAAGACATCTGTTCTTCTTAAACGCAACATAGCAGACCACCAAGAAGCAATACTGATAACTCGGCAGGTTCAAAACAGGCCAATTTGTGGCAAAAGTTCGGTGTGCGTTTCTTACACACCTCGCAGGTGTCAGATTTTACATCGTCCTTGACCCTTCCTTTCCTCCTCTGCCCGCAAATAATTTTCGGATTTTTTAAACCTTGCGAAGTGTACTACCCACTACTTTTTTAAAGGCTGTGGTGCCTGGTTACTGACAATAATAGAAAGAAATTAAGTCCTTTGGGGTTTGGCGCACCTTGAAGTGCGCACAGCGAAGTGCACTCTAATGAGGCCCTGCTTACATCCAATAGCGCCAAGATATCTCGAGGAAGTTGCGGCGCGCTACATTCAAAGTCATCAGTCGAGCCCAGTGTAAGAAGTATTTCGGCAATGCTTTCAACGCGCAAGAGTTCTGCATCACTTCTGGTCCCAAGTCTGCGTTCTGCAGTGTAAGTACACCGTAAAACGGCGTCACTTCGGACAGCCAGGGTACGTTGATTCACTTCTGCTTTTTGGAGCTGCGTCCCTAGCCGGGTACATTCGGGGGCGAGGGGTCGGCAACTCATATATTACTTCGTACGCGGTGGCTATAGTACCCGTATATTACCTATATATTACCATATATTACTTGCAAGTAGATTCGTGTTGAGTTCGCGAGGGTTACGTCGAAACATATGACGATCAGGCACTGTTAGATTCAGTTACATTTACGGAGTATCGACGGTGGTCCATCCTGCCCGTCTTGAATACCAAAATTTTGCATTCTAGGCCGCGATTGCCCCATATCAGAATTCTGAAACGGGGCACTCTGCGGGCCGGGAACTCACAGAAAAAATTCCAAGAAAAGTTTCGTAAGGATGCAAAATCCTTCGTAATACTTGTCATTTCTCCATAATAGGAAGAAATTAAACAATGCCTTCATTTTCTTCGTGGTTATGAAGCAAATGCAAAGACGTAAAAAAAACGAACAGAAAGTATTCATACAAAATTTCTTTTATAATAAGAAAAGATTTGTATTTTTAAACTGTTTTGTACCGTAGGACGGTGTAATATGAGACATGACGGGAAATCGAGACAAAAGGCAATTTTTTCGGTTTTTGTCGTGCTGCTCTCTAGTGGTCAGCACCTCAAATTGATGAAATTAAAAGATTGAAATACACTAAAATCTCGAAATTTGTCTCATATCACTCCGTTGTACTGTGAACTTGAGAAAAATTTTATTCACACGGCCAATCCAAGTGTGAGATAGTCTCACACTATTTAGTGCGAACCACTATATCTCACGCTTGCAAACGTGAGCCACGTTTGTCCCACGCTTGTGAGACAACATTTGTCTCACATTTACAAGTGTGAGACATGCACTGCAAATCCAAAGGTCAGACTTCTCGCCACTCCAGAGGCAAGACATAAAAGTCTCGCCAAGATTTGGTCAGACCTGAAAGTCTCGCCAAAATTTGATCAGACAAAAAAGTCTCACCACAAAACGGTCATACACAAAAGTCTGATCCCAAAATGGCGAGACTTTTGTGTCTGACCACCACCGCAAGGCCGTAATGCGCCGGATGGTTACGGCCTTAAGGCCGTGGTCAGACACAAAAGTCTCGCCATTTTGGGGTCAGACTTTTGTGTATGACCGTTTTGTGGCGAGACTTTTTTGTCTGACCAAATTTTGGCGAGACTTTCAGGTCTGACCTAATCTTGGCGAGACTTCAATGTCTCGCCATATTTTGGCGTGAAGTCTTTCCATCCGAATTGCTGTGTGGTTTGTCCCATACTTGCTGCCTGAGGTTAAATTTCGTTCACTGCCACAGGTCGCACGCTTGCAAGTGTGACACAAGCCGTGTCTCACACTAGCACGCGTGGGACAAACCCGGCTCACGCTTGGAAGCGTGAGTCAGAGTGGTTCACACTAAATAGTGTGAGACTGTCTCACACTTGGATTGGCAGTGGAACGTCTTTTGTTGTGTACCAAGGAACGTTTTGTACTACAGAAGTCGTTCTGAGGACCTTGCTTCTGGTTTGGAGTCGGCACTCCTACCCATGCGATGTTGCTTACAGGGCGACTCTGGCGGCCCCGCCTTCATCGGCAACGTGCAATACGGAGTCGTTTCCTGGGGATCGTGCGGAAAAGGCAAGCCAAGTGCGAGTGTCCTGGCTGACTTGGCTGATCCCCAAATCAACTCATTCGTAAGGAAAATGATGCGCACGCTGTAGACTTGCGTTTTGCCAAAACGATAGCGTCAAATTAAGAATGTTTGAATAAAGCAATTTTCCGTAACTGAAATCATTATTGGCCTGATCCTCGCGATCGGATCGCATACCTCGTCAGAAGTGCAAAATTACCTTCAGGTTTATGAACGACTCATTACAGATGGCATAGAAAGATGGTATCTTCTGGGTTCAGAGGTCGGACTTTTGAACGATTTCGGCCATCATTCTTGGCCTGATCTTCGCAATTGGATCGCAAAGGTCGACAGAAGTATGAAATTATCTTGCCCGAAACGTCGGGAGAATGCTGCCCATCCAAATTGGTTGGACGAACAGTGTCATTTTAAGGAAAATTAGGGGGACAGACATCAGACACCCCATGTAGCTTAACAAGATGCTAAGCTCACACTAATATTTTTTCACGAGGACCATAAAGATAAGGTCTATAGACAATGCAGCATATAGGCGCCTTCTGGCGAGGCGCCTAAAGGCGCCACAAAACCTAAGACAGGCGTCAAAAGACGCCAATTTTCAGAGCACCCCTGAATAACAGTGTGAAGTGCCGTGTGATGCCTCCCGAAAACTGTTACGCGCTCCGCTCAAAAATCCGCGCGACCAGAGCCAGAGCGTCGGAGCGTCGTCTGCTGCGCGTTGGCTGAGCTGCCGTCCGTCGAGAGAGCGCCACTTGTCACGAGCCGACGCTGCCGCCCGGCCCGCCCGATCAGCTGTTCCCCCCCTCCTCTCGCTTGCCGGAACGGGCAGTGCGTGCTGACCGTCTGGAAGGTTCGCGTCGCTCCGTGTCCGAGTCAAAGTGGACGTCGACGGCGTGCTCTGGTGCTCCACGTGTTCGCCTTCAACATGGACTCCTCGGCGCCCCCTATCATGAAGCCCGAAAGGTGTGCATCCACAGCAGTGTATCGGCGGTAAATTAGCTTCGGCAAAGAGTGCGGCATTTTCAACGCAATGTTTTGTACAGGGCTCCAAGTACTGGGCTCACGCCTCGCCCTATGGACGGCTAAACTCGCCAAGATGCCCCTGCTGCCCGCTGCTGTGTTGACCCGGACGCCGCCATGAAGTGGGCCACCGAGCCGGCCGACGAGTCGCCGCCGAACACCTGGTGGCGTCGCCAGCTCCTCGCCTCCACCAAGACCCCGTTCTTCGTGCCTGCCCGCTTGTTGTGCTGTGGCGAGCGGCGCGACCTGTGTGACGTCATGTGAAGTGCAGTGTAGTGTCCGTGCCGACTTGGACGTTTGTTACGCCGGTCGTGCACTAGTGTCTAACACACTATGGTTACGTAGTGTATGTGTGTGTGAGTAGCCGGGGGGCCCCCCGTGCTATTTTTGTACTTGTCTATAGTATGAATCCATCTCTACAATTTTGGTGAGTGCGCACTCCTTTATTTATTTTCTCCTTGGCCAAGGGTTATTGTTAGTATTGTTTTGCAGTGTAGTGTCAATTGTGGTTGCCGCGGCGTACGCGTACTAGTGTGTATTTGTTACATTCTAATAACTTCTAATTACTCGATGTTACCGCGCGGATAGTACCTTCTGTTAGAATCTTGTGAGTCTTGTTTTCCTGCGGGTTTTTCCCGTTTTGATTGTTAATTTTGTCTCGGTAATTAGAGTAATATTTTGCTCTGTGTACGTCGGTCACGTTATTTGTTTTTTCCTGTGCGCGCCGTGAAGTCAGGATTCTAGTCTAGTGTCTCGCTTTTTGGGTACCATGCGTAGCCACGGTGTCTGTTAGTGCGCTTGTAGATTTTATTGTCGTTCCTGTTTTGTCGACTTGTTTCTTGCGCGGCTAAAATGTAGAACCAGCGGTATTATTACGCTACTCTAGTTATCCTCGATGTCGACTCGAGCCGTGGGTTATTATTCACTTGTTTATGTGATTTTTGCTCCGATTAACTGTAGAAAAACCGTTGTATTTTTGACAGTGAATTTTCTGTAGAATGTGGTTTACAGTTTTTATTAGGATTTCCGCGGTCTCTTGTGTTTGATTTTGCAACCATTATTTTCCGATCATTGTTATTGCTATTGATTCATGTGGGTTCGAGCCCCACGTTTTGTACTGCAGTACTTGTTCATGGTCTTTATCTACTTTGCTCTAATTTATGTTGTTGGTCAATTGTCAACACGGTTAGTCCGGTCGGCGGTATAGCCCGGGGTTTGATTATTTATGAAGTGACTTAACCTTCAGTTAAATATTTAATTCTTGGCGTACCTGGCGCCCGTATGAAAAATAAGTCGACCGGTCTAGCTTCACCCTCCTCTCTCATTTCTCGCATACGTGCTACCTTGTAAGCTCCCTGACGTTGCCTAAGAAGATTCACCACTACTGCGCCTTTGTGGCCAAGTATAACCTACCCCCCTTTTAGCAACTGTAACAAAACGCCCGATGCTGATTCGTAGAAAGGCGTCGCACTTCAGGTTCGATGCAGAAGCATGGCACCAGTGGGCGATGAATGCGGTTTCAAACGCACTGCACGCAATTGACTCTGTACTCACAGCCGTGGGGTTCTCGGTGCGCGCTAAGCAAACACAAGTTGGCACACGCAATTCTGTTCGCCACTGTTTCAATCGTTTTTTTCGACTCTCTCGAAGCCCTGCGTCGTGAAGCAAGTGAAGAAGTACATGGAAACTGCAGACAGCATCTGCAGAACAGAGGCAGTTTTTACACTTCCATTCCAGGAGCGTGACGTCACGTCGAAACGAATTTGACAGAATGTCACATTGAAGTGTCCCACAATGAGATTTGACCGATGTTATTCGCATGTTACTGTGAATTCAGCACAAGCAAAATACGAAGCAATATCAGCAATTTCAGCGTGGTTCATTTTGTGGGCAGTTTTATGCTCGTTTTGATGCACTTCACCGATTGAAAAAAGTTGAAAACTTGGGCTGAAATCGTGCGCGCAGTGACACCATGTATGATTTTGCAGGCCTTTCCCACGTCCCTCATATGAATGCCTCCCTTAATGCTATAACAATTTTTTTTTTTTAAATTGTTGCAAAAAGTTTGATCTTTTACATGGTTATCGCCGTCTGTCTCTAGCATTCATGCAAGTCTTTTATTATTGAAGTGCAAAGGGAAAAATCGTAAAAAATTGAAAAAGCGTGCACAAAGTGCTACTGGCCCCTTAATCGTCTTTCCAAACAAGAATGTAAAAACGTGCTTGGGCAGTTGGGTGGTTTGCATCAAAACGTACATCTTTTGTCCCTCTCTTTCCTTAGAAGCCACGGAAGCAGATGACTGATATGGAGGAGGAAAACTGGGTGGTAACCCGATCCATGTTCGGCACTTAACCTCTATGCGCTGCATCCTTATTCCAGGCCCTGTATTCGTTCAGCATGTATTCGTTGACGTGCGTGATGCGAACATTCTTCAATTGAAAGAGAAACCGACAACCGATGGAAGAGCGGGGAAAGAGAGGTGTGGCGGACAACCGGGCAATTCCGTGCCGCGGTCCTGACATCAACGACCGCCTCTGCCAAAATTACCGCAACAGTTGCCAAAAGCGCAGGTGCAACAACGGTTGCCACAACCTCGGGAGCAAAAGCCATTGTTCCACTTCTACCCGACTGAAAAAAATTGTTTAGTTGCATCTACAACAATTCTAGGAGTCCGAACCCCGGGGGGGGGGGGGGGGGGGCAGGGGGCAGCAGCCGGGCCACGAGCGGCAGGGCCGTGATTTGTCAAACAAGTTTGCGTTAGAGTGAAAATGGAGCCTACGCTCAGACAAGGTGGTGCCCTGAAACTGACCGACTAAGTCGCCCGCCCCAGTTTTTAGGGCGACTTGAGTCGCCTACTTTCTGGGCGACACAGTCGCCTAGTTTCTGGGCGACACAGTCGCCTAGTTTCTGGGCGACACAGTCGCCTAGTTTCTGGGCGACACAGTCGCCTAGTTTTAGGGCATCTTGGTCGTAAATACAGAGCTTACTTATGAATGGTGGCCCAAGGCGCCCTCAACCTGAGCACCTTTGGGGTTGGTCCGACCTAATGTAATCCACTGCTGCCCAGATTCGGGGCACCTATTGCGCCTAGATTCGGGGCATCTCTGACGCCACCCAAATGTGAAATCATTGAGTTTATCCATGTGCAGGCAAACTTGTGTGCAATGCCTTGGGCCAGCATAGATAAGTAAGCTCTGTATTTGCGACCAAGATGCCCTAAAACTAGGCGACTGTGTCGCCCAGAAACTAGGCGACTGTGTCGTCCAGAAAGTAGGCGACTCAAGTCGCCCTAAAAACTGGGGCGGGCGACTTAGTCGGTCAGTTTCAGGGCACCACCTTGTCTCAGTGTAGTCGTGGATTTCTTCATGATGAACTGATCTATGAAGCGGAAGAAGGGGATAACTAAATTTTCGTCATTTTTCAGAACTGAAAATTTTCAAAAGTGTAGCATTACTCAGAAGACAGTTTCTGTTATTTAAATCTTTACGTTTGAATTGACTACGGAACCATGTTACTTAGTTCTCCCAAACGAGGTGAAATTTGGAGACAATTCAAGTGGAGCTGAAGTCTGCGTTGAGTCTATTTCTGCTCGTATTCCTGCGGTACCTCTTTTTTCTTTCAACTAGTGATGGGGCATTAAGTTGAGTTGATTCTTTTTACATTAGATTTTTAAAGACACAAGTTGAATGATCGGTGAGTGGGCCTAGAACGCTAGAGCGCTTGCCTAGTGGTTTTGGAACACTAAAGTGATGGTTCAGAGTAGTTTCAGTTCGGAGATATAGCAGGTGTTCTTTTCTTACCCGAGCCTCGAGTGTACTTTTCTTACCCAACCTACCCCTATGGTGGTGCAGCTGACTTCGTAACGTACCATTGAGAATTCTCTATACCTTACAGATATTTTGATGAATTTGGTTGGTATTTTGGAGAAAATCTCCACCATGTGCAGCCTTTCACCGTAAGACATTTACTGTGCGGACCGCCGCACAGTGCGGCCGATTTCGAAAAAGGTGGACATAATTCATTAAACTGCTCCTGTCAAACGTACGACGACGATTTTTCACCCTCGTATGTTTTCGAGGTCACTGCGTCCATTTCTTAGCTTAATTTTGATACTCCAGGGGCG